TACCACCGCCGTCGAACGGGGTAAAGGGGATACACTCCCTCCCCCGGAAATGGAGAAGGCGTGGTTCCGTAAGCGTACCTCATATTAGTGGAGCGCGGCTGCGTTTTTGGCGGGATATTGTCTCTTCGGGAAAGTTGTATTTAGGTCTCTGTCTAGCACAAGACAGGAAGACAATTGTCTGAAATGGAAAAGTTCCATAGAAGCGCCCTGTTCAGCCATATCCTTTGCAGTCCTGGGACATTTATGTAGCGCACGGAAAACAGTAAAAAGCGAGAAAACCCAGCCGAAAACATTTTTTTAAACAAACATAACCCCTCTTTCCAGCGACCAAATGCAACCTCCCTCGCTGCGGTTCCTAACGTACGGCGCGCTCGGGCACTTGTGGGCGACTCCTGGTCCCTTAGCGAACTGGACTGCTTCGCTTCTTCCAATCGGTGCCAATATAAAATCGTGGCAAAACGCGGAGGTTTTCCTTGACGGCTGGCCGCTTCTTTACGGAGATGCGAAATAATTGTAATCTTGACGAGATAGCGTTTGTGTGGGCGATGGGAAGATGGGTGAGGATTGAGCGTCCAGGGGCAGAGTGTAAGAGCTAGCCGCTGCTGTCGTCGTTGGCTTTGTGGCGCTTCGATTCCTCCACTCAGTTACGTAACGGACATGAGCTACCTCTCACCACTGCCCCACTACCCGACTCCAAGGTAACACTTATTTTTTGAATTTTTTAAATTCATTTTGGGTATAGTTGGTCCTCTCTACTCGAGCTTCATGCCTTTGGCAATCCGCCAGCTGAATCGGAATCATTACCGAAAGTGATTAATGTGTCATATGGTTACCTCTTTATTGCAAAAGCCTTGAAACATTGTATACATATCGATTATTACGAATTCACAGCTGGTTAATACCCGGATCATTCGGGTCTGACTGGACCACATGAGTGTGGGTGGAGCTGGTTCGTGGGAACACGGTTCTCAGAATAACTGGCAGGACCACCCATCATGACCAGATCACCTCTAACAGCTGTTCCGTAGTAACAAACTACTTTGAAAGAAGTAAACTTCTCTCTCAGTAACCCGCCTTTTTCACATCTCGGTATTTTCGTAGACGATACGGTAAGATGGATCAATTATCGATTTCCTTACATGTGTTTTTTAGACTTTCACGAGCTCGTTCCTACGTGCACGTACCAGCACCGTTCCCATTTGACGACGAACTATGGGACCCCCGCCACCGCCTCCTCCACCCCCTCCACTCTTATCCGTGAGTAATTGATTGATTTTATCGATTATTCTAGCAAACTTTGTGGAAGATATTGGTTTCAATGATTTCTTTCGGTTAGGAATGTAGGAAATTCATGAAGAACATTCATACAGTATATTCTGTGCGAACTTTCAGACTAATGGTATTTGCCAAGTATAAGAGTGGATATCCGTATATCAGCTGATCAATCAATATCGATTAATAGGGGCACTGGTCGATTTCCGATAAATGAAAACTTGGAGAGTAATTGTAGGGGAATCCAACACAGTGCCAAAACAGCTGTCTTTCCCAGAAAAATAGGACATTCAGGAAAACAACAACAGAAGCGATGTTCTTCTGAAGGTTTTCTATTTGAACAGGATGCCACGGATCGATAATAATCAATAATTTATGTTCCTGGAACCTCCAGGGATTTCCAGTACTTCATAATACTAAGATCGACTTGTGATGCTTTGCTCATCCACTAACAAAGAAAGCTGAGATCAGCCCCACTCACGAAGTTGTGGTGTGCCCCAAAAATTACGCCCCAAGAAATACTGTAGTGGCAAGAAGGGGGAAAATATTGAGGGAGGGGGTAATAACCTCGGAGAGCATTTGAAGGACTCAATGTCAAAAGAGGGAATATCGTCATCCAAATAGCAGAATCGTTCTTTGAAATGGTCCGCACCCGAAACTGCTCCCCTGCCTTGACAAAGTTCTTATTTTCGCTGCGGGGTCCCTGTTTCGCAAGGGGAGTCCTTTAAATGCCCCCGTCTCCCACGTCGTCAGCGCTAAATATTAGCTGTCATTAGCTATAATTGCCCTCTGATTTTAGTCAACGATATTACCATCTGGCGGGTGGAAGGCAACGCAGACACAGCGACGTAACAACAATTCCACACCTAGTAAGTCGATATATTGATTGCTATTGATCGAAAATTCCCGAAACCAAACATTGACTATTTCCAGCGTCGTCCGATAAAGCCCGTCCCGCTGTGGACAGTGCGGCACTACAGGTGTGTCTTTTATATGAAACAGACATATCTCACAACGCGATGTAGCAATCAATAATTATCGATTGCATCGATTAAACTCACTAACTTAAACTTTATTTTCAGCACGCAGCCGCTCGCTTGCGCAAGACCGGCTACTACGAACAGATACGAGGTGAGTGCAGGAAGTGCGTGGTAGGAGAGAGACCTGATTGCTTGCAAAACACAGAAACCAGCTCGTCGACGGGTGGCGATTTCTAGCTAGTTGACTCGATTTATCGTAGCAGTTTTGCATCAAACTGGTGATTTTCTGGTGCGAATTACGCGCACTTTGCTTTCGCTATACAGTGGCAACACGGACTTCCCCAGTCGCACCTAAACGCAGCTAGAGCAGATACAGCAGAAGTGGCGGATTTTTGGGACTTTCGGGGTTTGTGGTGGGATTTGCAAGACTGCCTCAAATGCTGCGCATTATTTTGTAGCTTTGAGTGGAAATTAAGGGGGTATTTCAGCCTAGAAGCCTGTGTGACCATTCATTTAGAGAGCGTTTTGCCTGAAATAGCGAGGAGTGACCCTAGCCCTTGTTTAGCGCAATGACGTGGGCTGTGTTGAGCTCGCGCTAGACAGAAAGGCAGAAACACCAGTGTTTATTACAGTGCAGAGGACCTCACTTGTTAGGCGGGGTCGGTTGAGAGATCCACTTTCCATACAGACTAGCTAGTATCCCCTGCTGTTGACTCGACATACTGTAGCATTTCCACGGTAATTCTGTTAGGACTGTAGGTCTTGGTGCGAATTTCGCTCACGCGACTCCGCTCGCCATGTCTCTTTGCCGCAACACGAATCTCCTAACCGAGGCCTTTTTAGCTATGTAAAGAGAAGGTATGTAAAGTACACTATTGAATAATTACTTTGAATAAAGGTGACGTCCCGAATCTATCCGATGGACGAGTGGACGGATCGCATCAACGATTGCCTGACGGAAATCGGCCGTACGGCTCGCAGCTCAATCAGCTGGAACGCGATCCGCCCAGAGAACAGGTTGGTTACAAAGATGAAAAGATACCTCTTCAATCGATTATCGATCGACTTAATCAATTGTTTAGCTTATGTCCTATTCTAAAGTGTAGCTGTAGTTGCAGTGGAAGCATAGAAAATGAGCCACCTCATTAATAATAGGAGCGAACAGAATCGTTACTTACAAGCCACTCATTGTTTAGATCAGGACTTAAAGACACAGTCCACCCTTGTCATTATGGGCGAACCAGGCCTGCCATTGGTCCTGCCGTGCTGTGATCTTCTCTCGGAGGCGGTATGAGGAGAAATACAAGAATTGACGAAGAAATAATAGATATAATGAGGCCCGGGCCCGCCCATATGTAGAGGGCGCCTTGGAATCGAACAAGATTTCCAGGGAGGGTCAAGCTGAGCGCCTTGGGCTTGCCCATTACGTAGAGGGCGCCGCTGAAATCGAAAAATTATCTTTTCACGGGAGGGGGTGCAAGCGTATAACGGGCTTTGACTAGACAACTCTTTTATCTTGGCGCGCTACGTCTCAGACATCCATAAGGAGTAGAAGAAGCGTTGAAATGAGCGTCTAACCTAAATAAGGGCCATAAACTGTTTACTTGATTAGCTTATCCCCTGTAGTGACGCCAAGCGCCACCCTTCGCTTAACATGGGTTTGACAGTCTCCAAGTGGATTCGATCAATAGGCTTTATCGAGGCTGATTGCACCTTTCACCTGCCAGCTATCGTTATTCGCTTCGCGTTTATTCTGAAAAAGCTAGAATCCAGAAAGAAGGCAGCCTAGCAATCCGTTAGGAATTTCACATGCGGCATGAAATGACCATAGGGCCCATAATTCAGCAGGCAAGCCTAGAATGAACAACCCCAAACGATAATTGACAGCGGCTTCGATCGATATCGATTTTTACGCTTAAGGTCAGCGAAGAGAGAACGAAATAATCGTTTAGCCAAAAAGAATATGTTCTTGATCACCACGAAACTGGTGGGATATGTAGAATAGAGTAAGGTTGCGTACTTGATACTGTCTGATCAATAAATCAATAGTCACAAATCAATGAACATTTTACGAAAATAAATGTTAAGGTTTATGCTGCGCCCACTCATTCCTACCACACTGATTCGATCGGCAACGTACGTGGAAATTCCAATTCGAGCGTAATCACTCATGTGAGTCATTTAGTCCGAAATTTTTTGCACCAATCGATAACGACAGCATCTATTTCAGAACGCGGCAGTCGAACCGGTGTTGCCATCCAGCTTTGATGCCGTGCCGAAAAATCTATACCAAACTTTCAATAATCCCTCTTCTAAAGCATTTATCGAAAACAAGCTTGAACTGCCACCGCCACAGAGAAACGTCCTCAATCCAGCTTCCCCTCGACCTTATACCCCTCCCGTCACTCAGTACGAGAACCAGTCATACCATACAACATCTTATATACAGGAACCCATAGCGTATGCCCCACCTCATCATGACCCAAAACCGTACGCACCACGTCCATGGAGTCCACGATCACATTCGGCACAACACTCCACTATACCATACAACGAGAACAGTACCTATAACTATCAGACCTACACTAAAGAGACTACCAGACGTGAAGAACAGCAGAAAACTCGTCCATCGACGGTGCAATGGGAGACGCCATGTGTGCGGTGAGTTTCAGACTGCTTATAATCACGTAAAAATGAAAGGGGGTGCGCTAACAACCTGGTGGCTCAGAACTTCAATAACTTGGGAGAGATAAGCACATCCGTGGTGGATCAATGATTAAGGGCAAAAAGTGGTCTGGGAGTTTGCAAGAATTAACAAGAACTGAGGACAAGTTCAAATGTAGTTCAGAGGGATTTCGTAATTGCCCCCCGTAGCCGAAGTGCGCCGGCCCTCGGAAATCCCTTTCTGGTATTTCCCTGTAGAAGCAGTGCTTACCGTTACGCTTAGGCTGTGTTTATACTTTGCGGCAGCGTACGCCAGCGCCAGCGTTTCCAGCGTTCGGCAGCGGCAAGTAGGGAACTTTTCGGGAAATTTTGTGAAAAAGTGGCAGGAAGTTGGGGAAATCTAAAAATTGGTAGAGAGGGGGAGGGAGTCGTTTTGTTTCGCCACTATTCCTGCTTCACATGTGCCTGTGCTATTTACCCCCCCCCCCCCCCCCCCCCTCCCGCTCGACGGCTCGATTCGATGAGGAGGAACAGAGGGCCGGAGGGGGGGGGGAGTCGTACCAACCTCAAAAAAAGGGGGGGGGGGGTCGTAGACTCGACTAAAATCCTCACACTTGATGGCTGCGCTTAGATCGATATCCTTCCTTCCCACTACCGCTGCCGAATGCTGGCGTACGCTGCCGCAAAGTATAAACGCAGCCTTACGACATCGTTTGCCTATCCTCATCGAAGGCTCCTCGACCCACGCTTGACTATAGCACCGATCATTTAGCCCTTCCACCGAAAGACTGAACTATACAGTACAAAAGTGTGGTCCTACTGAAAAGCGGTTTTCAGATCTTCGTCGCCGATTCTCGATCCACATGCTCGTATCCGAGAATTCGCGACCAACACCTATATCCAGGTCAGTTACGTTGCCCTTATTTATGTTCATTTTCACTGCATTTGTGGCTTTATTGAACTATTCCTACCCCAGTCCAGGTAGTAGTCCCTTTTTTCTGCGAGGGCAGATTTGGCTGAAAATGTGCTCACGGGGGTAATTCGACCTCCTGAACACGAATATCACATCCGCTTAGCCCGAAACTGCCTGGCGCCCGCGCCACAGGCGCCGGCGCCAAAATACCCTAAATCACCAAATTCGCTGAAAACTTGTCTCTAGGGGTAGTTTGACCTCCTGAACACGAATATCACATCCGCTTGGCCCGAAACCGCCTGGCGCCCGCGCCACAGGCGCCGGCGCCAAAACACCCTAAATCACCAAAATCGATGAAAACTTATATACGGGGTTATTTGACATCCTGATTACGAATATGACATTTATTCTTGACGCTGGCGCTAGTGTAGGACAATATGATCATCTGCGCTCTGCTAAGGCTGAGCCTTGCCTGAAGGAAATCACTCCTTCTCCTAGGTTCAGCCTTAGCAGAACCCTAATGTCGAGAAATAAATGCCATATTTATGAGCAGGGCATCAAACAACCCTACTACGCAAGTTTTTACCGTTTTTGGGGATAAGGGGTGTGGCGCCAAATTGGCGCCTAGTGGCAGTAAATGCGCCAACGCCAAAAAGAAATGCCGTA